ATATGTGTTGAGGTATCTACCAGCGTGTGTGTGTGTGTGAGCGTGTGTTAAGGTCCAGTCTATAAGCCGGTAATTACATGCGTGTTTAGGCGGTAGGACATGAGCTCAAATTCTCCGTCGGGAGGGATGAAGGAGATGGTCCGGTCGTCCTCAAAACGAGACAGACGGACACACTGATTAAACTTCACATCCTCCAGCTCCACAGACTTGCTCTTTCCTCCTACACAGAAACAAAGAGGAAATCCATTTCATGTTTACGGTCATTTGATAGACCAGTGAATTAGTGAATTAAAATCTAATCCAATCAACAGTCAAGAATAGCTTAATCCATTATCTCGATGAACGCAAAACAAAGACAATTTATTTAAGGTAATAAAACGGTAAGAAATAGGACCTCACTTCCAGTGTTCTCAAACAGAACCTTGTCGTTCAGACCCAGTCGAAGCTCTGGCATTCCAGACAGGAACACGCGCATCTTGACAGAACCAACAATCTCACTACACAACACGTTACCATTCGCACTGACCTGAAGATACAAAAAGTAAGGCACAAGACAACAACATAAATCTGACGAAAACAGAGTGCCACAAATATTAATAACTCAATAACACAGACGACCCTTCGAAAAGAAAACCTACGAGGAGGTTAACCTACGAGGAGGTTGACCGACTCGACGATGTCCAGGAACACCTCATTTTTCCTGTACTTGATGCCCTCTGACCTCCATGACACAGCGTTGGTGACGGTTGCCGGGGGACGGGGAGCACCGGTGTCCAGCTTGTGACCCTCCTGGGTGATGTACCTGGGGACCACAGGTAGATGTTAGGGCCTTGTGTTCAAGCTACACTGTTTGGTGCAGGAATAACATGCGATAGACAGTTGTAATGATGTAAACACGTACTCCTGCAGGATCTTGCTATCAGTGGTCTGGGGGTAGCCGAAGTCCATTAGCTCGTCCATTAGCTCGTAGATGACGACAAAGTTATCTCTGATGCTCTCCTCTTCCAACTCCTTAAAATACTCAGAGAATACCTGGGGATTACAAATGTAACACGCTTGGTTATGCTTTCAAGTGCAATATCAGAAATAAATTGCTATGCAGGCCAATTCTGAATGGTTCCTCAAAATGTCAGTAAGATATTATCCCATTGGCCATGCTTGAAAACAGCTCAAGGTGGCCAACGACAGTTCTGAAAGCCCGTATACAAACATTACCGCATGTGACCACAGACAATATCCCTTCATTCGTTGCTAAAACAAGTCCACGTCAGCACAAACATTGACAGTCCTACCTGGATTATTTTGTAGAGAAAGGAGAAAACCAGAGATACAGAAGCGTTTTTCCTGGACGTTGCGACAACTGATGCGTGGTGCGGGTTAAGAAAGGGAGGTTGTTATGAGAGGTTGGTGAAGCCATTTGTTTTGGAAAGACAACTGACACAATGTGCTATGGGGTGATTATTTGGACGTGCCAAATGAAAAATAATAGAACAGAAAACAGTTACTCAGATGTGTTGTAACAACCAGCAGCACAAAATTCACAATGAATTAGTCTTTTGACCAGTAAGATTATCTTTTTTGCCAGCAATTGTTTTGGAGTCCAATCAGATTAGATATTTCGCCAATAATTGGGTGAAAGGTTAGAACTGAGCGGTCCGTGTGACTACAGTGTGTGTGTGTGTGTAGCTTTCTGTAGGATACGGTACAGATTGTTGTGTTTGATCCACATAAAGCGCACCCCTCCATGGGCCAAGATGGGAGACAGGGTACCCTCTTCCTCCTTGTCCATCAGGAGGCTCAAGAAGTGCTCGATCTCAGACATGTCCACATCTCCGCGATAGTTCTTACTGATCAGGACCTATGGAGACATGACTGATAACATAAAAACAACGCACAAAGTGTCTACAACTGCAATTAACTAGTCATGTATACAGATGCCTCATCTGGGTATAGTCTTACAGTTGACCAAGATACACATTGTCTTCCTAATTAGTTTTATGGGACCAGATTAATCCAGGCAGCCACTGTGTACTTTTTATAATATGGGGTGAATTAATTATCTTGTTGTTCAACATTGGTACTGAACACAGAAACGGGCAGGATCCCGAATGATTGTTTCAATAAAAACATATTTTTAAATGGTTCTGAACGTACTTCTGGGGAAAACTAACAAATACACACTGACCAACTCGGTAGTTTTGAACAAATCACAGGAGACCGTGGGCATTTAGTGGGCATTTAGATGGCTAGTGTGCTCTGATCAAATTACATGCGACATTCAGTGTCTGTAGCTAGCGGTTTCACAGGCTAAAACTAGACACTTTATCAACACCAGCTATCAACTAGTTTCTGAGGTAGCAAAGTCATCGCGTCCCGTTATCTTACCTTGCCTTTTAAATCCAAGACATACACAGCACTTGCCGACATCTTAATAAACCAGCTTCTTGCTACACAGCTTGAATCGGTAACAAGGTGACTAATACTATTAGTAATAGCGAAATGTTTCCGTTAATAACAGCAAACGTTGGAATGTTACATGTCTGATACTGAGGACCAGGATGTCATCTGGTGAACGCAAACAACCGTGTAAAATGTACTGGAAAAGGGGTAACCTTCAAAATAAAGGCCTGCATTTAAAAACATTATAAATAGGAAAAAGTAATTTCATAAAACAAAAGTATAACGATTATTAAATTTTATTTTTTTGTAATTTTGTCACAGTCGCTGTTATCAGAGCGACATAGGTCTAAAGTGGCAACGGAGTATCCAGACGCCTTCACCTTTTCCAGATTTTGTGTTATAGATTTAATTAATAGATTAAATTTGTAATTTATTTTATGTATTTAACGCCATACAGACATAATACAAAAAATTTAAACACGTTTTGTAAGTTAATTATATTTGTTTACGTTTTTACTTATATACTTAGGCCTATATGATAATATACTTACTGGTAATTATGATTATAGGTTAGATTGGTCTGGAAGTTAGGATATATTGGTCTGGGAGTTAGGATGTAATGTATGTGGATGTTTTATCCCAAAAATCTGAGAAGGTCGTGCTGCTTGTGTAAACAGTGTGTTGGCAACTGTATAAAGAAACATCGACATGTAATTATTATGGTAGCCACTAGGTGGAGTATTTGTAGTGTCGGTGCCTTAATTTACCTAGACAGAGTTGCAATGAAAAAGCCATATCTCAGACAGTCCAATAAAAAGAAAATATTACGACAGGCAAAAGAACACAGACAGTGGACTGAGGAAGAACTCTGCCTAGAAGGCCAGCATCTCAAGAGTCGCCTCTTCACTAGTTACTAGAGTTTCAAAAGAGAGTTCCTTTTTTATGAAATGTTTGCCCTGTAATCAAACCAATAAACACTAATGCTCCAAATTCTGTCCTATAAAATGGCAGTTTTATAGCTTTTTTAATTAGCACAGCAGTTTTCAGCTGTGCTAAAATAATTGGCTTTTCTAATGATCAATAACACTTTTCAATTCATAAAGTTGACAATATGAACAACTCTATATGACCCCAAACTTTTTAATGGTTGTGTAGGTCTAATGTTGATGTAATTTATTATCACACAGTTAAGATACACTAAATACAGTAGCTGTTCGATCACTCGTCATAAACTAACTGATAATCTGTTTATCTACACTACACAAAGTAACATCTCAAACAGTAAAGGCAGTAAGTAGGTTTCTCCATCAGGACACAGTTTAGAAGTGCAGGACACTTTCCACTATGTGGGCCATACTTGAGTTAGTGTATGAATGTAGTAGCTGTGAATAATCATTTAAATAAAAAGTGAGTTAACTGACTAAAAGTGTTTTTCATCATGAGCAGTCTGGAGATCTGTCTCATTCTTCAAACATTTCGTAAGTATTTCAGCAAACGTTGGTTCACCAGAAGTTTTAATGATGAAAATTTTACTCCAATCACAAAAGCATTGTGAAAAAGTATTGCACCGAAAATTTCTCATACATACTAAATTACGATCTGTATCGTATTTTAAAGATAGTTTGGTAGAATTGAGTACAGTAGAAGTTCATTAAAATCAGATACTTTTGATTTGTACTGTATATGATACACCAACAACCTCACACCAAACTCACACCTAACGTGCACCTAACTCATACCTAACTCATATTACTTACACCTAAAACAAAGGTATATTATTGGTAAACTTTAATAGCAATATTAATTCCAGTGCAGCTGATCTCATGGTAAACAAAATTATGATTTATTTTGAGATAAAATAATATCATTTATGATATTCATAATTTGTAAAGGACATCGCAGGAACTAAAACCTGTCTGTCTACTGCCATCTCTCAGACTGACCCGTACTCCTGTAACAGTGTCCTGTCTGTCTACTGCCATCTCTCAGACTGACCCGTACTCCTGTAACAGTGTCCTGTCTGTCTACTGCCATCTCTCAGACTGACCCGTACTCCTGTAACAGTGTCCTGTCTGTCTACTGCCATCTCTCAGACTGACCCGTACTCCTGTAACAGTGTCCTGTCTGTCTAGTGCCATCTCTCAGACTGACCCGTACTCCTGTAACAGTGTCCTGTCTGTCTACTGCCATCTCTCAGACTGACCCGTACTCCTGTAACAGTGTCCTGTCTGTCTACTGCCATCTCTCAGACTGACCCGTACTCCTGTAACAGTGTCCTGTCTGTCTACTGCCATCTCTCAGACTGACCTTTACTCCTCCATAGATTCTCCTTCAAACACCCCTGACCCTGTGTTTCTCAATGTGAACAGTTGCCATCCCCTTCAGTCTGCGCATCACGGGGACACCTGGCCACATGCCAGATGTTTGCAAGAGGGAGAAAGGGAGGGAGACCAAAGGAAAATATAGACAGAGCAATACAAAAAAGAGAAAAACACAATGAGGACAGCAAGTGAGAAAGATATACTGAGAGACTTCTTAATTTTTTAATTTAATCAGTTATGCCAATTGAGAACAAATTGCCATTTGCAACAGCAACCTGGGGAGAAGTTGGGGATTGAACCCATGACATAATACACAACAGAGCATGCACTCTACCACTGAGCTACCATGTCTTCTTTCAGAAAGCCAATGCAAAAAATTGTTGATTTATGAAACATATCGGTAGATGTGTTAATAGGGAACCCATGTGATTGGAAGTTCCAAGGGAGTATTTGCATAACACATTGCTCTGCCTTCGTATGATACAAAATACAGCTGTGTGTACAGAACATGTGGTGCATAACAAAGTCTGATGCTCCATGATGAACACAAACCTTTGACTTTAACAATGTAGTACTGAACATACAGGGTGGGCAGTTTGTGCAGCTAGCCACATAGCCACAAGTAGTTGGTTTGATTCCTGCTAGGACCAGAACATAAATACAGTACATATGCATGTGCTATTGTTGATTTGCGGTTTTAGCTTTGGACAATGTGTCTGCTAAATGACCATTCTCAGTGTGTTTTTGACGTATGCTCTGCTAATTAGGAGTCATTAACATGTCTCAGGAATCTTAAAGATGTTGTCATGGTCACCTGCATGTGGTTAGAACATCCTCTATTTGCTTGGAAAATAACTCCTGAAGTCTCCCCAAACATTGACAAACTATCAAATTAAGCAAAAAACATCAAAACATATGAGACCCCTTCGTACTTATTTGAGCAAGAAGAGTTCACTTGTCAGTGTGTGGCTAGCAATCAAGCATGTCTTTCAGGTCTGCTAGCTAGCTCCTGCATGTGCTTGTGATCAGTACCAGCAGGTGTCACAATGTATGGGAAGTCATATGACAGAAAACCTGATACCTTAGATTCCCTTAAAACACTCACACAACATATAAACTGCAACGGCGTTCCAAATGAGCCCCATTTACCTGGTCAATTTGTTACATGACTGTTGTTTGTCTTTATTTGACCGAACAAACCATTGGTTTACAGAATATGTGTGGGGTTGTACTTTGTATTGATGTCTGTGTCCACAATGACAACTGATAGCCAAACCCTCCGATCTGTATGGGTTTCAGCCAACCCCTCAGATCTTTATGGGTTTCAGCCAACCCCTCAAATCTGTATGGGCTTCAGCTAAACCCTCAGATATGTATGGGCTTCAGCCAACCCTTCAGATCTTTATGGGTTTCAGCCAACCCCTCAAATCTGTATGGGCTTCAGCTAAACCCTTAGATATGTATGGGCTTCAGCCAAACCCTCAGATCTGTATGGGCTTCAGCCAACCCTTCAGATCTGTATGGGCTTCAGCCAAACCCTCAGATCTGTATGGGCTTCAGCCAACCCCTCAGATCTGTATGGGCTTCAGCCAACCCTTCAGATCTGTATGGGCTTCAGCCAACCCTTCAGATCTGTATGGGCTTCAGCCAAACCCTCAGATCTGTATGGGCTTCAGCCAACCCTTCAGATCTGTATGGGCTTCAGCCAAACCCTCAGATCTGTATGGGCTTCAGCCAACCCTTCAGATCTCTATGGGCTTCAGCCAACCCCTCAGATCTGTATGGGCTTCAGCCAACCCTCAGATCTGTATTAAGGACCATGCTTGAACACATTTCAGAAGTCTTTACATTTTCCATGGACCTCCTACAGCCTACCACACAGGGCCAGACAGGATATGTCCCCCCCACTTACACCCCAACTAACTACGGCTGCTACATTGTGAAGTAAGCCATATTGGTTGTGGTGTTATTATTTCATACAAACAAAAAAATCTATATGGAATTGTATCATAAAATTGCTCCCTATTTGCTATAAAAGGCCCAAATGTAGTGCCATTACAAAGAAATTGAGTGTCATTTGGCTGGTAAAATGTAGTTACTTGGAGGACTTTACATGGGTAATTGAATAACCTGCTTTATATTTAGAAGGACATTGTTGTTCATTATGTCATGTCTTTTCCGGGAGGCATCTTGGTTCAGCCTTGAGCAGTCAGTCGACACATTTAAATCTGTGGGGCACCGGCACAACAGACTGGACAGGCAATTTGTGTTGGTTGCAAGTTGGTGAAGTAACTTAAGACAGCTATGATGAAGGGCTGTTTCTCCAGTCATGTTTCACCACTATGTTTGCAAACATGTAACAGATTTGATTAGCAAAGAATAATTACAGAAGAAAAACATAAATACAGAAGAAAAACATAAATACAACCTACAGGCTTTAAAAACAGTTAGGACAGACATCAAAACATTACATACAATCTTATCGATACATTATTTAATGACAGCCTGTTAACGTCCTGGTTAAATGACACCCTTTAAGTGTTCTGGTTTAATGACAGCCTGTAAGTGTCCTGGTTAAATGACACCCTTTAAGTGTTCTGGTTTAATGACAGCCTGTAAGTGTTCTGGTTTAATGACAGCCTGTAAGTGTCCTGGTTAAATGACACCCTTTAAGTGTTCTGGTTTAATGACAGCCTGTAAGTGTCCTGGTTAAATGACACCCTTTAAGTGTTCTGGTTTAACGACAGCCTGTAAGTGTCCTGGTTAAATGACACCCTTTAAGTGTTCTGGTTTAATGACAGCCTGTAAGTGTTCTGGTTTAATGACACCCTTTAAGTGTTCTGGTTTAATGACAGCCTGTAAGTGTCCTGGTTAAATGACACCCTTTAAGTGTTCTGGTTTAATGACAGCCTGTAAGTGTCCTGGTTAAATGACACCCTTTAAGTGTTCTGGTTTAATGACAGCCAGTAAGTGTTCTGGTTTAATGACAGCCTTTAAGTGTTCTGGTTTAATGACAGCCTGTGATATGTACAGACAAGTAAATTACAATTAGATGGCTTGGATTGGTTTGTAACACAAATTGTGCTGACACACAAATAACGTCTTAAATACTAACCAAAATATTGTCCATATTTTAATTATTTTATCACTTTTCTTAAAATACTTTAACAGCTGAAGGGTTGTCAGTCAATTTAATAATAATATAATGAGTGCATAGATCAAAAGTGTAGTTAAACATAAAATATGTGAGACACACAGTGACTTCAGAAACATGACTTCTAAATTTCACCAATGCACCAGAAAACAAACTTTAACATTACACTTGTCATGGAATATTCTGAGCTGTCCGATTCTGAGGTGTCTGAAGCGAGGTTTCAGCTAGAATGTTTTTCACACTACTGGGCCATTACTGATAATATATCTCAATGCTGTGACCATGGAGATGTTGATCTGCCGGTGGTGTCACCATTAAGCCCAAAGGAGCTGCCATGCATCTGGAGCCTGTTGGTCCTGCAGAGAGACACAGACACACAGTCACAGGCCAGACACAGACACACAGTCACAGGCCAGACACAGACACACAGTCACAGGCCAGACACAGACACACAGTCACAGGCCAGACACAGACACACAGTCACAGGCCAGACACAGACACACAGTCACAGGCCAGACACAGACACACAGTCACAGGCCAGACACACAGTCACAGGCCAGACACAGTCACAGGCCAGACACAGACACAGTCACAGGCCAGAGACACAGTCACAGGCCAGACACAGACACACAGTCACAGGCCAGACACACAGTCACAGGCCAGACACAGAGACACAGTCATAGGCACATAGTCACACTGTAAATATGTTACTTGGCAACCCCTTAATCAATTCATGATGCTGAAAATAAACCTGAAAAGTTATATTCATATATATAATTTAATCTGTCTGTTATCTTGATAGGTGAAAGTTTGCCACGTTCACCTGTTTTTATTCAGAAATATTTAGCCAACACAAATACCACAACAAGGCTTGTAATGTGAACTGACCCTAAAGGAAGAAATCGAATGGATTTCCGTTGTGTCTCACCGTTTGCGTGCCCTGCTGCTCCGAGCCTCTTTAGACTTGGTGAAGGTCACCGGGTCACCCCCTTGGACCAGGTCTGCAAACTCCCTGTTGCTCTCTGCTTTGAAAATCCCCCTGGAAGAAGAGTAACTCACAATCACAATATTACACTGTAATGCATCCCTACACACCTAGGGGCAGAGCGGTTCAATGCACTCTGTCGTAGCACACAGCTGACCTCCTCAGTTTTGGCTCGAGCCGTGACTGTGTATCTAGCTGATGATTGGCTGGGGGTGAGGTGCTATTGCCAGCAGGGATTTCCTGGTCTCATTCCAGTCTAGCAATTCCATCAGACCGATTGGTCTTTTCAGGTAATTGAGAGAACGCTCACACAATCACCCACCTGACTTACTGTTTGGAAGAGCAAAAAAAAAGCTGAATGGCTAGGCACGGATGCCTAGGAGGAAGGCTTGCTGCGATCTTCAACTCTCCTGAATCCGTTGAGGCAAAAGATACATTTTTGTGTATAATAAAATAAAAGAAGGTAGACAATGTGTGGGTAAAGGGAAGTTGACTAAACTTGCACTGTAGAGTCATGTAAACATACGCATTCGACAAGAGTCAATCAAGTAGGTTCTACAAGAAACATAATATTCAGTGGAGTAGCTGTTAAAAAATGCTCACTTGGATTGAGTCTCCCCTGCTTTGACTCTCATCCTGCGAACCATGAACTTATTTGAGTTGAAGAACGAGAAGTAGGAGTCAGTATTCCACTGCAACCGGACTCTCAGCAGTTCTCCCAGATCAACATCTGTCGTCAGCAGGAAAGATGATGTGGTGTTGGAGGTGACGCTGGACCTAGAAGTTAAACAGTACAATTACATAACCACAGCAGTGTAATCTCTGTACAGTCACTATAATGTGAGATAGGGTTGTCCAGAGCACTACCCTGCTTCCTCCGGTGCACGTCTGACCCGACAGCAACAGGGTCAGGTCCAACCACTACAAATTTTAGCACACTAATCTATACTATATGTTCAGACTTTTTTCTCTCATGTCAGTAAAGCGTAGTATTCCCCCAAAACAGCTATTTAACAACTTTTAACAATGTGCTACATTTCCATAGTAAGCCGCTGAACGTTTAGCAGAGGTGCTTACAGAACCAGTTGGATGTCCTCTTTCTCTCCATGTGTTCCAAACAGAGACACTGTGATCGGTTGCTCGTTCAGAGTTAGGTTCTGCTGGTGGAAGATATGGAACTTCATCTGGTAGTGAAAGACTGCGGGTGTAAGG